GTGATGTTATTAATAACAGACTTTTCAATTTAATCCACTTTAGTTCAAGAGAAGAAGCTTTCCTTGTTCTCGTTTAATCAAGTTCAAGGTCTTCAAGAGCTCTGGGCAGCGTGCGGAACTTCACGTGCGCGGCGAGTGCAGGCCTCGCGTGCAGCACGTGCTAGCTCCTAAAACCATTTGTATGAAGTGAGTGGTGCTATTCGCTTGCTATCGACATTCCTAAGCACCTCGATCCACTCGCAAACCTACCGATTTATTGATCTCTCATAAAAATGTGTCCACTGCGGTAAAAAGGTTACAGGATCTTATAGGGCTGCGAGTAAATGACAACTACAGGGATTCATCCCTGAAGGGCACACTTCTGGAAAATTCGGGCGGGAACCAAAATATGTGATTTCCTTCTCCTGTTTCAGACAGACCTGAAAAACTGTTCACAAGAGATAAATGATAAAAAAGATATTCAGTTCCATGGTGGTGTTATTAATAACAGACTTTTCAATTTAATCCACTTTAGTTCAAGAGAAGAAGCTTTCGTCGTTCTCGTTTAATCAAGTTCAAGGTCTTCAAGAGCTCTGGGTAGCGTGCGGAACTTCACGTGCGCGGCGAGTGCAGGCCTCGCGTGCAGCACGTGCTAGCTCCTAAAACCATTTGTATGAAATAAGTGGTGCTGTTCGCTTGCTATCTACATTCCTAAACACCTCGATCCACTCGCAAACCTACCGATTTATTGATCTCTCATAAAAATGTGTCCACTACGTTAAAAAATTACAGTATCTTGTAGGGCTGTGAGTAAATTACAACAGGGATTCACCCTCGAAGGGGATACTTCTGGAAATTTTCCTTTCCTTATTTTAGAAAGACCTGAACAGCTGTTCACAAGAGACAAATGACAAAAAAGATATTCAGTCCCAGAACTTGGTTTCAGAGGGCATGAAACCTTACCCTGTTTTGAGCCTAAATGGTTATAAGTTATAGCTAATTTCAGAAAGTTCGACGTTTGGCCTATCGGAGACCTTAGTGATTCGCACGGATAAAACTAAGCAACTAAGGACACTATGAATATAGTTATAAACCGCTGCAAAATTAAAACCAGAAAATCTGATATATCTGAAATGGACTCCATCGAACAGTGGTCGCAAGATACACGGACATCTTAAGTACTGACAAGTGTATCGGAGATGGTTATCATTTCAAGGAGGCGAATATCATATATTCTCGTTTGATGCTATTATTAGGCTTTGTCGATGCCAACCTCAAGTATAGTGTAAGGCCTGGGACTGAGGGGTTTACCAGTGGAAAATGAATTATTGGCTATAAATTCGGCATAGATGATGGTGCTGAATCAAAATTTGACGCACATAAAGAACTCATCGTCCATAACATTTTTAAGTATAAATATTGTGTTGATAAGTCACGTGATGTGTCACGTGACCATTTTGCTAAAAATCGTAAATTATTGACCATTTGGAGGTTGGTTTAAGAAAAGAAAGCGAGCAATAACATTTTTCTAATTCATATTAATTATTTCTAACACTTCACGCTTGGAGTGACCGTCCATTGTACTTTAATAAAAAAATATGAGAAAAACATCATTTTAAATGCCCAAATTCAACCTTGAAGTTTTTAAAACTTTAGTTTTAAACTGCGCGTACTTTCATTCCAAACAGAAATTTAGGTATGTTTATCCTCTTTCAGAAATGCCAATATGTTTATCCACACAAATTAAATTCGCCACTAATTCGCCAACTTTCTTCATTTTCATAACTAAACGTTAAGGCACAAGAAACCTCAATATTTACTTTTGGGGAAAAATTCATTTTGTTTTGGGTCTCCTAGGGAGAGATATTAGAGACTTTAAGATCGAGGTTCGGTCATTTCGCTACTAAAGCCTGGTTTTCATATGCCGGGAAAATCCCAGACAATCGGGGATTTTACTTTTTGCCGACCATCCCCAATTCAGTGCCGATATATCGGATAATCGTCAGAAGTCTGTCCCAGATTCTCCCGGTATTGAATTTGACAGGAAATGGAAAGTGCTTCAAAAATTGAAATTTGTACAGAAACGTATGATAGGGGGACTTGAGCCCAGCAATTTAGGGGATTGGTAATGGGCGAAATCCATCGCAAACCATCGTAGAAATCTGGGACGAGTCGGAAAAATAGAAGCGTTCCCGATTTTTCAGATTTGTCCCCGTCCTTCCCAGACAATCGGGGATATCTACGATTTCTAGTTTTCATTAGTCGGCAAAATCTGGGACAGTTGGGAAACAGAAAAATCTCCAATCGTCTGGGATTTTCCCGACATACGAAAACCAGGCTCATTTAATTGAAACTTTAGACCCTGATGGCAAAGTATCCCGGGGGGAATCCTACCTAAGAGTGTCGGGGATGCTCGTCGTCTCGCTTAGCGGTGTAAATCGCAGAGTTTTGTCTCACTTATATGTACTTAGGGTGTTTGGGAGGGAAAATCACTATATTTGCCCATTCAGATATCGCTTATGGATGTGCTTAAAGAAAATTACAAATAATGCCGTGATGTTTTAATGTGGTCTCATTTAGAGGTTAGTTTAAGCTTGAGCCACACTCACATTGGTCTCTCGTTAGGGGTTTAATTTTAATTTTCCGACGAGCATCCCCGTCACTTTTAAATACGAGTCCCCTCCCCCCGCCCCCCAATCCTGGCCCTTTCTCGGAAACGGTTCCAATTTCGGGGTATTTGAAAACAAGTCTTTCGAGTTTACTGTGTAATTACATGAAATCTTTTACTATTCTCCTATCAAAAAGGAAATTTTATGATACTTTGCCGATCTGTAGTTCCTTCTCCCGATTAGATCGCAAACTGCGTCCTCGACGTACTGTATCAAATGTATCAAATTGCGAATATCAAATCATTATTCAAATAACGGAAATATGTTTAATATAGCTACTCGACTAGGAAGTATCACGTTTCGATTTATTTGTCTAGTCCTCAAATCTCAAATCCCTTCTCAATTCTAACCTATAGGGAAGATCTGATACTCAGGAAAATTATCGCTCCAAGTTAGGAAATCCAAGACAGTCTTGCCGGAATTCTGGATTTTACCTTGTGGATTCCGAATTCTAGGTACTGGATTCCAGATTCCAATCGTTAGAAAGATTCTGGAGAATATAGTTCAAAACCACTTAAACATAGCATTGTTAAAACGTATTTTAGTATTTAAACGGTAGATATAGGCATATTTTTATCCCCTAAAAATGTTTCATCTGTTCGGATTTCCTAGCTGAAAGTGAGTGATCCGAAAATTATAGGGATCAAAACTTACCCTTTTAAAAATTTCAGGCAGAAAAAAGGCTCCGGAAAGTTCTAGGTGACCTTGTTAGGGTAAAAATCCGTTAGAAATGGGCAATTATACCATTTTTTAGATGTTTGAAAATCCTAGGAGAGGCAGACAAGCAAGAAATTTTGGAGAAAATGTTCCGAAAATTCTAGATCTCAAATCGTCTTCCGAACAGATATTTTCCGAAAATTGACGTTGGGTGCCCCTGCTTGAGGTGTATTTCAGTTTCGGATTCCAAAGCCAAGAATTCCTGATTCCACAACCAAACTTTCCCTAATTCCGGATTTCCTACATTGGACGATAATATTTAGCTTTGAAGTGGCATACCGGCGTATTGAGTGGGCTTTGAACTTGGTCTCCTAGTACACAGTTAGTTCTACATTTCTTTGTTTGTTTAAGATCTTTACCGTTGATTCCTGCTCAGTCTGCTCTCTTCATTCATCGTTTCCTCGCCGACGGACTAACATGGCTGATCCGTGGAAGAGCAATGAGTTGGGTTGTTTGAGGCACAATGGAATAGTAAGCATACTGCTTCATACGCAAGAAGTGACTTCTCGTATGTGTAGACCCTGTGAAGTATGCGGTCCATAATCATGTTAAGAACACCCGGAGAGCTCCGCTTTGTTTAGTAGATCGACTTGCAGGCGAGCTAACCTGGGTACCAGAATTTTCCTCTTTGTCGTCACACATCTTTGTCCGAAGACCGAAGCCACGACCGGCAAAGACAAGAAAGAAAAAAACTCGGGTCATTACAAAGACTTTATCGTAATCCATAGGGTATCGGCGAGTAATGTTTCACGGAGAAAAATGCGTTTTCTTGTCAGTTATCTAGAATATCAGAAAAGATTTTTTTTGCTTTATTTTATTTTATTTTATTACCTTCGCTTACATAATATAAAATTGATACATTCAATCATGCAGGTAATCAAACAAAGTAACAAAGAAAAAGTTTCAGGGATTCCGCAACAGCGTGAGCCAGTTACTGCGGGCCCAGAAAATTAAAAAATATAAGAATAGCCCAGTAAAAATACATAATCACAAAACTAAAAGCAACACGAGACAGGCTGGCGAAACTACGACACTTTTTACATTTAAGACAGACAGACTTAAAAATGCGGGGATTTTCACAGTAATTAATACTCTACTATAGTCTGTTTAAAATCATTCAGGACGTTCATGCGCAAGTTCAGTTCATCAGCAACAACGTTCCAGACGCGTATACATCTGCATGATGATATAAAACTTTTGATCGATAATTAAGTTGCTGTCTCACATTTAGGCTCTACGAAGATTTACGTCTATCCATGAAAGAAATTGTGCAGGAAAAAGGCAATTCGAGAGTATATTTAGTGGCATGTCTCTGTGTCCTTTTACTTATTAGGCGAAAAAAAATTGTGTTCACTGCGAGGGCTTTATTACGAAAATGGCCCTATGTTTTCAGTTTCGTTGTAGGTAATTTTGGTTTGGGTGTCACCTGCTAAGATAACCGTCAATATTTGACGGTATGATACAGAAAGTGCCGACGTTCGAATTAAGACACTTAGGCCAGGCTTCATGAACTCAATTGGTTCTCTAAAATTGAAATTTATTCAAAACCGGTCAATATCAATATCACTTTCAGTCTGCCTCACATTTCGGCAAAGAATTCGAAAACCATTGCCGGCATAAGAAAGCCTTTGCATCATGAACGTGACAGCAACCACAATCGAAGTCTTCGCCCAGCAATTGAAAAGCCGAACAACTGTGGTTCAAATGGTAGAATCCTTTTTCCTGTTAATGATCAACCTTGTCTCCTTCCTTGGAAATCTATTACTTGGAATCGCGGTCATCAAAAACCCGAATCTTCGTAGAACTATTCCCAACATGTACATTATATCTTTGGCTGTTTCCGACTTCTTAATGTCATTGCTGGGGACTCCGTTTTCAGTAGCCTCTCTTATCACAGGAAAATGGCCGTTCAATAATCTCACTTGCCAGTTTCAAGGATTCTGGATCCTTTTCATGTGCGCCGTGTCTTTGCAGACTCTAGCCGTCACCGCTGTGAACAGATATTTCCTAGTTGTTCGTTCTCGCGTGTTGTATCAGAAAATTTTCAATATGAAGACAACAAAAATAACAATTGCAATTCTGTGGGTCATGGCTCTCTTTGCACCCCTTCCGTATGTCGTTGCTGGCCACGATTTTTTTTTTCACACTGGCAAAGTCTTTTGCGCTCATAACGCGGAATCGTTGTACAAAGGCTACGGAGCTTATTTGGTTCTCGTTTATGTAGCCATTCCTTTAATCATCATTTTAACTTGTTATACAAGAGTTTTTATCGCAGTGCGGAAACACAACTTAAACTTTCGTCCCCGAATCCGCTCTAATGGCAAGAGCGGCAAGAACTCCTCGAACAGCTGCCTTTCGGTTGAAGAAGTAAACGTGACATATATTCTGCTGGTTGTCGTCATAGGTTTTCTAACCTGCTGGACACCTGTTTTAGTCATTGATATGATCGATTTTATAAACGGAGATTGGAAGCTCAAGCGACCAGTCTATGTGAGCTACACCTGTCTTGCCACTGCCAGCACTTCACTCAACCCCATCATATACGGAGTCATGAACCGAACCTTCCGTTCGGAATACTTGAAGATTTTTGGGGTTGTTAAAAGTTGGAAGTTTAGTACAACGCCAACAAATTCGGACTATGGAAATGAGCCAGTGCGAACAGATAATGGCCCTAAAAATAACAACACAACTCAACTTTAGAGAAAAACTGCCTTACTTATTTTAATCAGGTCGAGCGTGAGAATCGAAAAGTATATCAGAACTTCCTGTATTATCATCTATTAATAACTCCAATCTAGTCTGAGGAAAAATTAGCAAATCAAAGCGCAATAAAGTAGACTAATATTATTCTTGATCGCAAAATTCACAGTGGTGCAGGAAGTTCCTTTTCGAAAGAAGTATATGCACTGCTTCATCCTTTTGAAAAGGTTAGCTGGTATAAAATAATATTGTTCTGGAAAAAGTAAATCTTAAGTGTACACAGCAATCTTTCTTTTGCAAAGGAGCTCGGTTTTTAATATGAACTAATCTTGGTCATGATGTAGCAATTTCAGCATTTTTTTAAAACTTTTTTGAAAGCATTATTGTTAGTCTCTTTATCCTTGGAAGTTTTAAAACAGCAAGACATCCAGATCGATGGCATTTTTTTTCTAAAACAGGCATAGTTACCTTGTATAATTATGTTCTTCTAATCATTGTTGTAAGAATACTAAAATAATTTTAATTATTTTATTTATAAATTATAATAAATTAGATTTTATTGTAAATTATTAAAATAATTTTATGTGGAATCATTCTCCAACGACCCTCGTCTCCGGGCCTCTTATGCTGTTTAAGTTAATTGTGGGAGGAGGGGGAAGGGGGAACAGATGTTTCCGAGTTGTTCGTTCAATTCCCGCGTGTTGTATCAAAAAATCTTCAACATGAAGACAACAAAGGTGACAATCGCAATTCTGTGGATCATGGCTCTCTTTGCACCCCTTCCTTATGTTGTTGCAGGGCACGACTTTTTCTTCCACTCTGGAAAAGTCTTTTGCACATATGATGCAGAATCGTTGCATGAAGGCTACGGAGCTTACTTGGTTCTCGTCTATATAGCTATTCCCTTAATCATCATTACAATCTGTTACACAAGAGTTTTCATCGCGGTCTGCCGACATAATCTTGTAGTTTTTCGGCATAGAATTCATCCTTTAAACCTACAACTAAACTTTGGTCCCGATAATCCGAGATTGTCCTGTCGAGGAGGTTAAAGTGACGAACATCCTGCTCGTTGTGGTGGTAGCTTTTTTAAGCTGCTGGACTCCCGTCTTAGTCATTGATTTGATCGATTTTATAAACGGAGACTGGAAGCTTAAGCGACCATGTCAAAGACTTTATCATAATCCATAGGGTATCGGCGAGTAATGTTTCACGGAGAAAAGTGCGTTTTCTTGTCAGTTATGTAGAATATCAGAAAAGATTTGTTTGGTTTATTTTTTTTATTAGCTTCGCCAACATAACATAAAATTAATACATTCAATCATGCAGGGATTCCGCAACAGTGTGAGCCAGTTACTGTGGGCCCAGAAAATAAAAAAATATAAGAATAGTTAAAATACATTATTACATCCACTTTGAAATCACTGGCTATCCGTGCAATCTGATTGGCTCTCAGAGGTGTGATTTATTCCTAAGTTGCACAATTTTTTGCTCTAAATCGCATCTGTTCCAAATCGCGTCGTTCATGTTCTAAACCGCGTCATTTCTGTTTTAAATCGCACCATTTTTGTTCTATATCCCATAACATAACATAACATAACATAAAACTTTATTTAAACTCGAATTTTAGGGTAGCTAACAAGCTAATATCTTCGAGCTGACACTACATAAAAACTATATAGAAAATATATATATACATTAAATGCAAGGAAAGAAAATATCATTTACAATTCACAATTTTAAGTTTAAGTATGTCAGGCAAAAAGAATCTACATGAAGGTAACATCCTGTATTTTAGTCTTAAAGTCTGCAAAAAAACTGGTACGAAAAAAGTCCGGCAGTGCATTCCACTGCTTAGCTGAAAAGTAAGAAAAGGAGTTAAGACCATAGGTAGTTGTTTTAGGTTTACTTAGTGAAAGAATGTAGTTGCCACGAAGATCATAGGAAGAGGACCGGAGTGAAAACATATTCTTCATATAAGTAGGAAAATGAGTGAAAAACAAACTCTTATATAACAGAATGAGGAAATTTTGAATGCGTTTGTTAAACAAAGAAGTAGAGCTGACTTTTGAGAGAAGAGTGTTGTATGGAGACGAGTAATCTCCAAGTATAAATCTAAGTATTCTTTTATTTAAAGCTTCGAGCTTATCTGCATCGCGCGCTCCACAAAAGTGCCAGACAGAGGAGCAATAATAAAAGTGAGGTAAAATATACGCTTTGTAAAGTTTGAATAAGATTTCCTTGCGTATGAGTTTTCTAAAGCGCAACATAACATTAAATTGATTATTAATCTTTTTGCATACATTTGATATATGTTTAGAAAAATTCAGATTATTATCTATTTCCATTCCAAAAATCTCTAACGTGTCCTTTACTGGGAAGGAAAAACCATACTCCGTATCACCGAGGATTAGACACTGGTGCTTGCTCTCATTAACTAACATCCCATTTTCATGGTACCACTGATTGGCCACGCCAACATCATGAGATACGCATGCATCCAGAGCTGCCGGATCGACGTGGGAGTAGTATACCTGATGATCATCCGCATAAGCGTTCAACTTGGCCTTCTTGACGTGGAAGAAAAGATCGTTTATGAAAATGTTGAATAGCATGGGACCTAACACACTCCCCTGCGGGACCCCACGCTTGACGCTTTCCCAGGTCGAAAAGGTGTCTCCAACTTTAACTCTCTGAGTTCTGCTAGAGAGATAGTTCCTAATTAGGGCACAACTTTTGTCGTCCATACCATAGGCCCTCAGTTTCGAAAGGAGGAGTGGATACTGAATAACATCAAACGCTTTGGAGAGATCCATAGAAACTACCGCAACAAGCTCCCCCCTATCACGCATCATTCTCCAGTCCTCGGTCAACCTTAGCAAAGAGGTAAATCATCATTTCTGTTTGGAATACAAAATACAATGGAATACAAAATGAGATGTAAAAGCCTTTTTGTTTCGGCTTTTCAACAAACCGGCTACTTGATCAATAAAGTATTAGTACTAACTAAATTCTGCGATATCAAAATGGAAATAATAAAGTGGTAATTGAACTTCGTGTCGTCCAATTTTGGTCATACTTGTGATTTCAGACCAAATTCGCGCAGCGCGCTCGTTCGATTTTGAATTTCAGACCAAATTGCACTCCACTCAGTTCAATTTTGATTATTAATCACAAAATCAAAAGCAACACGAGATAGGCTGGCGAAACTACGACACTTATTACATTTAAGACAGACAGACTTAAAAGTGCGGGAATTTTCACGGCAGTAATCCTCTACAGTTAGCTTTTTAAAATCATTCAGGGCGTTCAAGGGAACCTCCACTACAACAAAAAGATAACTTTAAATCACAGGAAATAACTGTTACAGTCAAGTCAATCTAAAATATTTTTAAAGAAAGCGTTTGTATCCGAAAGAAATAACTTTTAGATTCGCCTATTTTTGTTTTCAAATTTTGCGGGCGTCGCCATCTTGAATAATTGTGATGTGTTACGGTTGCCCTATTGTTATTAAACAAAAGCTCTTTGTGTCACAACAACTGACAGCAACCGTAACACGTCACAATTATTCAAGATGGCGGCGCCCGCGAAATTTGAAAGTGAAAATAAGCGATTTTAAAATTCACTTTTCCTGATATAAACACTTTTTAAGGACAATTTCGAACAAATTTGTTTATCAACATAATTTTATTCGATTTAAACTTATTCTATAGTAAGAATGGAGGTTCCCTTTCACGCATAGGTTCAGTTCATCAGCAACAACGTTCCAGACGAGTATGCATCTGATGATATAGAACTTTTGATAAGTTGGTGTCTGACATTTAGGCTCTACCAAATTAATAACACCAACAACGAGCTTTATTTGCATGACCATACAAATACACTCCAGTATTGCAAAAGTTATTGTTTAGGAATCAATAATTTAATAATTTGCCACGAACATCAAAACAAGCTGAAATATATTTTATGAATTGTATATTGATAAAGTAATTAGAAGAGTTCATCAGTTCATTGATCAAAATGTTTACAGGTAACTGGGTAATATTTGGAATCAGCGTCTGGACTTTATAGTAAAATTTGTTCTTAATCATAGAGGATGTAGGACATTGAAAAAGAAAGCAAACTTCGTCTTCTATTACATTGCATCCACAAAAAGGGCAATGCCTATTATTCTTCGTAGTTTGATTGTATCTGCCTATTTCTATCATTAGCTTGTGATTTCTTATTCGCAGTTTTACTAAAGCCCCAACACCATTAGATGAAGATGTGGTAGGCCTCGTGATGCGAGCTTTAGGAATAAATGATGGCTCTCCCGATACGAGACCATGAATGGTTTTGAAAAAAAAAAAACACTGGCATATCTAGATACTCGTGCCAGAATGTTAATGGAAGCAGATCCAAAGATTTAAATCTGTCCGTGTAAGAAATGGTGTAGGAAAAAGGCAATTATAACATAGCCAGAAAATTCGCCTAATCAAATTCAATAGCGCGAGCGTGCTTCATATTCGTATTGAGCACGCTGATGACGTCAATAAACTATTCCTAATTCCTCGAGTTGTTGTGAGCTTAGCAATCCTGAGTCTCCTGAGTGCATCCATAACTCAGCAATAGACAATGAAGCGTTTATCATGTGTTTTATAAGGAAATTTAAGAGGAAACGTTTGAATTTGTTAACCAATAGTAAGGAAAAGAGGTGAGTGTTGTTGTTTTTGTGATCTCCGCGAGCAGTGCGGACTATGGCGTGAGATCATTCTTTACAAAGTTGTTCTCTCTCAATAACAATTCTTCAGTAAATTAATTGTTTTCCGGCACCTAAATATGGATTTTACAATCATTTTAGAGTACACTTTCTCTCAGTTTCAGGCTAAAAACATAAGATTAACCCTTACTGTGAGGAAAAAAAATATATAGTCACGTAAACATTGACACGTACTGCTTTGAGCACCCCTTACAATAATAAAAGTTTAAGTTAACTGCTGCATTGATCGCTTTGATAATGTTATAAAACAATTAGTTCATGCTGCAGCTGTGCGTATGTCGAGATATTGAGCACTTGGGAAGTTTGGAGAGCACTCAAGAGGCTAGAGTTGCACTCGGCAACTCTTACGCCTCTTTCGTGCTCTCCAAACTTTCCGCGTGCTCAATATCTCGACATACGCACGAACTAATTGTTAATTTGAGAATATATTTAGTGGCACGCCTCTGTGTCCTTTTACTTATTAAGCCATCCCCTTATTTTTTTTTTTTTCGTTTAGCGTCGAATGCGTTTCCCGATCCTCCTGATTGGATATTGGGTCGGTCGGTCGCGATTAAAAAAAAAACCTGAAAAAAAATCACAAGAAGTCTTGGAAAAGGAGGCCCTGATATCCCAGGATGACGTTAAAAGTTAACGGTTACATATTTGGATTAACAGAATGCACAATATAATGTAAAAAAAAGGTTCCTGTTTCTTATCCTGTTTTTCTCTACACTGTTCTATGCTCATTTTTCAGATTAAAAAAATTATTTTAACTACGTCGTTACTTCTCTCTGTTTTTTTTTTGAAAATGCCAAAAATCAGGGGCACCCAACGAGAATTTAGTTTAAAACCACTTAAACACAGCATTGTTGAACGTATTTTAGTATTTAAACGGCAGATATAGGCATAGTTTTATCCCCTAAAAATTTTTCATCTGTTCGGATTTCCTAGCTGAAAGTTTGGTGATCCGAAAATTATAGGGATCAAAACTTACCTTTTCGAAAATTTCAGCCAGAAAATTCTAGGTGAAAATTCTCCCGAAAATTCTAGGTGACCTTTTTAAGGTAAAAAACGGTTAAAAATGGGCAATTATACCATCTTTTAGATGTTCGAAATCCTAGGAGAGACAGTCAAGGAAGAAACTTTTACAACAAATGTTCCGAAAATTCTAGATCTCAAATCTTCCTCCGAACAAATATTTTCCGAAAATTGACGTTGCGTGCCTCTGAAAATTTGGGTCGGTCGGACGACACTAAACGGACAAAAAAAAGAGAATGGCCTTAAGACAAAAAAAATTGTGCTCACTGAGAAGGG